GGTGACCGCATCTGCTTAATAGAGGTCAAATTTACAGTTATATGGGAAGCGATTTTTGGGAATAAAATAAATGACCACTTAATAGAGGTATAAAATTTTTTTTATTTAAGTGTCTAGTCGTTCTAGCGCTTTCGCACTAATTGGGACACTTTTCGCTCACACGCACTACCACTACAATTAATATTCTATGCACACAACGCTCAATTCACATGTTGATTTTTACGGAGGGAGGAAACCGGAGAACCCGGAGAAAACCCTCGTAGCATAGGAGAGAGCAACACATCAAACATACTCAATTCACATGTGGCGACCGCAGGGCTCGAACCAGCGATCCGACCCGTTGGACTCACAACGGTAAAAGACGACGTGTTAGTCGCGAACGCCACCCATGCTACCCATTATAACTGAAACATGGTGTGGAATTGTTGCAATTATGTGTCACTGTGACTCGCTGCCTATACTAGAACTATCTGGAGTCGTCTAGTATTTCTAGTGGGAGTGGAGATGTTTGTGTAGTTTACCTGGGAGGCCATGTTCTCCTGTTCTCTGTCTGACTGTCCTGCGATGCTTGGTGACAGAAAACTGATGCGTGTGGAGAATCTGCAAAGAACAGGAATGAGGTTCAAAACAGGATGGAAGAATGGAGAAGAGTCGGCGTGAGCAAAACATGCCGACACCACAGGACATGTGGCAATCGATGTGACATGTGGAATCGATGTGGCCACTAGCTGAGACTGTATTTGTCCTGGTCACTGATTAGTTCAGATTCGGTTTCTCGACCATGCTTGTAAATAGCCAACTGGTTTGCCTCCTTGCCAGTTGGGATTTTTAACACAATTTCTGTTTGTTTGATCATTTCATTTCAGTTTATTAATTGTAGGAGGGCCATAATGGAAACTACTGGGTTACCAGTAATGTATGTCACCCTCGTTAAATAAAGTCAATTTATTTATTTATTTATTTATAGAGAACTTTTTTTACACCTTGGACAATTTATTCACATGTATCTATCATTGCAAGCTCGCCGTTCATCTCGCTTCGATGCAAAGACACGGCTACCTTTTAAGATGGCGCAGGGAACTGTGTAAGGGACTATAAGCTAAATAAACATCTGAAGTAACTACATTTTTTAAACACCCTGGACAATTATTCACATGTCTCTATCATTGCAAATTTGCCGTTTGTCTCGCTTTGGTGCAAAGGCACGGCTGCATTTCAAGATAGCGCAGGGAACTGTGAAAGGGACTATAAGCTAAATAAGCATGTGAAGTAACTACATTAGTGCCCATTGGGAATACTCAAGCTGTATTATATTTTCTTTTGCACAAGGTTAGTCTGATGATGCTGAGTCCAGGAATCAAACCAGAGGTACCAACACCATCCTTGATTCCCCTTTGAACACACAGCTTTGCTTACAAGTCTGGGTGNGGTGACCGCATCTGCTTAATAGAGGTCAAATTTACAGTTATATGGGAAGCGATTTTTGGGAATAAAATAAATGACCACTTAATAGAGGTATAAAAAAATATTTATTTAAGTGTCTAGTCGTTCTAGCGCTTGCGCACTAATTGGGGACACTTTTCGCTCACACGCGCTATCACTTCATTCAATATTCTATGCACACAACGCTCAACTCACATGTTGATTTTGATGGAGAGAGGAAACCGGAGAACCCGGAGAAAACCCTCGTAGCATAGGAGAGAACAACACATCAAACAAACTCAATTTACATGTGGCGACCGCAGGGCTCGAACCAGCGACCCGACCCGTTGGACTCACAGCGGTAAAAGACGACGTGTTAGTCGCGAACGCCACCCATGCTACCCATTATAACTGAAACATGGTGTGGAATTGTTGCAATGATGTGTCACTGTGACTCGCTGCCTATACTAAAACTATCTGGAGTTGTCTAGTATTTCTAGTGGGGGTCGAGATGTTTGTGTAGTTTACCTGGGAGGCCATGTTCTCCTGTTCTCTGTCTGACGGTCCTGCGATGTTTGGTGACAGAAAACTGATGCGTGTGGAGAATCTGCAAAGAACAGAAATGATGTTCAAAACAGGATGCAAGAATGGAGAAGAGTCGGCTGAGCCAAACATGCCCACACCACACGACATGTGGCAATCAATGTGATAGAGACCTTTTTTTAACACCTTGGACAATTATTCACATGTATCTATCATTGCAAGCTTGCCGTTCGTCTCGCATCGATGCAAAGGCATGGCCATCTTTTAAGATGGCGCAGGGAACTGTGTAAGGGACTATAAGCTAAATAAACATCTGAAGTAACTACATTTTTTAAACACCTTGGACAATTATTCACATGTCTCTATCATTGCAAATTTGCCGTTTGTCTCGCTTTGATGCAAAGGCACGGCTACCTTTCAAGATAGAGCAGGGAACTGTGAAAGGGACTATTAGCTAAAAAGAAATATGTGCAGTAGTAACTACATTAGGGCCCATTGGGAATACTCAAGTGTTATTATATTTTCTTTTGCACAAAAAACCAGAGGTACCAACACCATCCTTGATTCCCCTTTGAACACACAGCTTTGCTTACAAGTCTGGGTG